GGCCGGCCCCCCCCGCGGCCCCTCCCCTGCCGATAAGCACTTCCATGTATTTTCCCAACCACCTTTTTATGCAATGCCAGTGTCTCAGGTTTTATACTTAGCCTTGGTTTCCTCAATAGAGACTGGATTGTTATTTTTTTGTTCTGTTCGCAAATTCTTTAGTACAATATGACTCAAGTTAACCAGAACTACTACATTCTATGCTAAAAGGAATTACTGCTGCTAAAAAAAAAAAATAAAAAAACAAAACAAAAGAAAAGTCATTGTACAAAGAAATCACAGAATCACAGAATCACTAGGTTGGAAAGGACCTTCAAGATCATCAAGTCCAACCATTAATCCAGCGTCACCATGTCCCCTAAACCATGTCCTGAAGTGCCACATCCACACGTTTCTTGAACACTTCCAGAGATGGCAACTCCACCACCTCCCTGGGCAGCCTGTTCCAATGCCTGACCACTCTCTCGGTGAAGAAATTTTTCCTAATACCCAATCTAAACCTCCCCTGGCGTAACTTGAGGCCATTTCCTCTTGTCCTATCGCTAGTCACTTGGGAGAAGAGGCCAACACCCTCATCGCCACAACCCCCTTTCATGTAGTTGTAGAGAGTGATAAGGTCTCCTCTCAGCCTCCTCTTCTCCAGACTAAACAACTCCAGTTCCCTCAGATGGTCGTCATAAGACTTGTGCTCCAGACCCCTCACCAGCTTCGTTGCCCTTCTCTGGACACGCTCCAGCACCTCAATGTCCTTCTTGTAGTGAGGGGCCCAAAACTGAACGCAGTATTCAAGCTGCGGCTTCACCAGTGCCGAGTACAGGGGCATCTCTCTTTCCAAATTCTTCTCATGGTAACTGTCATTTGCAGCAGAAGTAGTGAAAGCCCTTTCACAGAGGGAAGTGATTTAAATTACTGTGTTCCATACACTAAAACAAACACTGACATCTTTAAAAAGTAGCATGAAGACACCTTTCATTAGCACTATCTGCTTAGCCAATACAATAGCAGATACAAAGAATTACAACTTGGTCTCAAGTGGCTGCTTTTCTAAAAGCCGAAAGGATCAAAGACACTGCTGGCAATCGTGTGCTTTTGAAGGAGTGCAAGGTTCGCTGGAGTCAATAAGCACTACTGTAACTTAACTAACATCAGTGGTGACTGCAAGAATAACAATACTTTTTATTTGATTCCCACCCCGCCCCCAACCACAAGGACAGTGGTTTCTAACATTAAAGCAGGCAGCAAGGTTTTACCGTTGAAGAGAAGATGGACACATTAAGACCGATGTAATTGAAAAACAGATGTTAATAAGCTTATGAAGAAATAAAGAGAATATAAAATGAGGAACAAAACCAAAAAGCCAGATGAGACTATCATAGAGAACCCTGGAATAGAGAGGCAGACAGACTTTCAACAGAGGATATGATGGAATAAATATTATTATGCTGATGAATGTCAGTTGAAACATTAAAGTTGCCGTTAACAAGATTAAATGCCAAAGGAATATATGCGAAAGCCAGAGCTGTAACCTTCAGGGAATACAAGAACTTTCAAGCAGGCAGACTAAAAAGGAGATTCCCAGGAGCAACTCCAGATGTTAAAATCTCAGCCTTTGTGCTGCAAGGCAGCATTGTGGATCAAGAATGAGGAGGTACCTGTGGTGGGCTAACCCTGGCTGGACACCAGCCCCCCGCCAAAGCCACTCTGTCTCCCCCCTCCTCAGCTGGACAGAGAGAAAATACAATGAAAGGCTCATGGGCCGAGACAAGGACAGGGAGAGATCACTCACCAGTGACCATAACCAGCAATACAGACTCAACTTAGGGAAAATTAATTTATTATCAATCAAATCAGAGTAGGATAATGAGAAAATAAAAACTAAATCTTAACACACACACACACACCCCCCGCTTCTTCCTGGGCTCAACTTCACTCCCAATTTCTCGCCTTCCTCCCCCCGAGCGGTGCAGGGAGATGGGGAATGGGG